AAGTGATTGAATTACCGCTGCTTAACCCGGAGCTGTTCGCTCGGGTGGGCATCACTCCACCGAAGGGTTGTCTCCTCTACGGTCCGCCCGGAACCGGCAAAACCCTATTGGCCAGAGCCGTGGCCTCGCAATTGGAGGCGAACTTCTTGAAAGTGGTTTCGTCGGCAATTGTGGACAAATATATCGGCGAATCTGCGCGACTCATACGCGAGATGTTTAACTACGCTCGCGATCATCAGCCGTGCGTTATCTTCATGGATGAGATCGACGCCATCGGTGGCCGCCGTTTCTCCGAAGGCACGAGCGCTGACCGCGAGATTCAACGGACACTAATGGAACTGTTGAACCAAATGGACGGCTTTGACTCACTCGGACAGGTGAAGATGATTATGGCCACCAATAGACCCGACACTTTGGATCCGGCGTTACTACGGCCGGGCCGTCTGGACCGTAAGATCGAGATCCCACTGCCCAACGAACAGGGAAGGCTGGAAGTGCTCAAAATACACGCCCAGCCCATCGCCAAACACGGAGAGGTGGACTGGGAGGCGGTCGTGAAGCTGAGCGACGGTTTCAATGGCGCCGATCTGCGCAATGTGTGCACCGAAGCCGGACTCTTCGCCATTCGCGCGGAACGCGATTATGTGATCGAAGAGGACTTCATGAAAGCCGTCCGCAAGATATCGGACAACAAGAAGTTGGAGACAAAACTCGATTACAAACCCGTGTAATGAATGCCAGCGAAAGAGAAATTCTGGTCTAATTCTATGATTAATTTCCTTTCGTTTTATTAAATCTAATATTTGTGTGTTTTTAACGATTAATACAATTCTCTGTGTATTTAAAACAAAAACTAAATTTCATTTATTATTAAAACATGTATTTTGTAATGAATTGAGAATCGCTTTTCAATGATATGTTCGCGTGATTTGTATTTGAATTGTTGGCAAACAATTAGTGGTTAATAGTGTCGACCGTTAGATACAGTGAGAGATATCTCGATGACTATACCGGAAGACAATTACAAAGAGCGTTGGGTTAACCCCACCGTCAGAGACAGTCTACTGTTTCTCCTATCGATGGCTATTGTTTTGCAATCGTTTCTAATTCTGTACACCATTTGTAAAGTCATATCCGTTGTGATCGACTCGTGTGTCCCAACGCCCAAAGAAACGGCCGCCGATTTGGACGACGACACGGCCCACACCCGCGACACCGATCTGTCGGTCACCGACAAAGACTTGTTCATCATTATCACTGATCTAACAGTAGAGTAAGCATTACGCCAATTGATCACCATATCATCATGGCCATATTAAAGCCATTAATTAAATGTTCCCTATATCGCTACCCCTCCCCCGCTCTATAGGGTTGTGAAAGTAGTGATACTAATGGTGGGTGTTTTGAGTGTCGTGGATGTGGTGGAAGGGGTGGTGGGAGTGATAGTGTTCTGTCTGTTCCACACGTTTGCGGTGTTGTCCACACTGTTGTCGACTCCCGTGTGTTTGAATCGCCACGAAATCGGGCCAACGGTTTACCGACGGCTCGAAAACTATGCGTTAATGGTATTACTCTTAGTCCACGCAATGGTCGCCGTTCTGGCAGTTATTAGTCTGGCCTATAATTTAATCGACATTTTATCGGAAACACCGTTAATATAATGTAAATGTAATTATAATTTATAAAACTATGGCCAATAATGTGTTCAATTAATAGTAATTGGATATCAATCGCAAATTATTATTACTTTTAATTAAAGACTAATTATTTATTAATTTTAATTTAATCAATAATTACGTAATCGATATTAAATATTAATTAGATTTTAAAACTAAAACATTGAATAAAAGTTATAACTTTACAACACTTTAACAAAAGTGGTTAACAAAGCGTAACGTTATATATGAATGAATTGTGTGTTTATTGTCATCTCCATAGAGAAAGCGTTCAATTCAGACATCAAATCACTTCCAGACTTGATTTCAAGTGAATATCCATTTGATCCGTACGTCAAGAGACCGCATATCTCTATACCATTGGCAGACATGTCTTCACGAGAGGGTAAGTGACATCACAAACGCACGCAAACACATTACCTGATCCTTATGTCACGTGTTTATTACTCTTACCACTGATTGGATGCACGTATTGGTGGTGACCATCACTTGGCGGCCGACTCACGACAGGCGGTAAGAAGAAGCCATTGAAGGCGCCGAAGAAGGACAACAAGGAGTTGGACGAGTCGGACGTGGAGTTCAAACGCAAACAACAAGAGGAGCAGAAGAAGCTCAAGGAAATGGCCGCCAAAGCCGGACAGAAGGGACCGCTCGTCGGCGGCGGTATCAAGAAGTCGGGCAAAAAGTGAAGCACCGATTGAATGGCCACACAATCAACGGCTACTCATTCTTCACGCGTTTGTCACGACATTTCACAACACTTTAATTGAAGAGATATTTTGTTTTTATTAATTGAATTCAAAATTAGTTAACATTTATAAGAATAACATTCAAACGAAACACAAAAATTAAAATTTGAGACTAAATTGATATCTAATTAACGAATAAATTAAATGTTTTAATAATAATAACTCGTCTATTATTTATAGCCTTTAAAATCAATGCATTAAATGTAATACTAATTGAAAAGCGGTTCAGATCTCCAGTGGTTGCGGTCATTAACTCTGCAGAAGACTAGAGGCGAGTCCTGTCGACCACCCGTTCGAGCAGATAATCGACGACATCTGTGGTGGTGTTTTGGCCGCCGAGGTCTGGGGTGTGAACTTTGGCCACATTCACGCAGTCGTGTATTGAGTCGCGTATGATCTGCGCGTGAGAGTCGAGGCCTAAGAACTCCAAGAGGTCTGCGCTGGCGTTAAACATTGCCAACGGGTTTGCGATGTTCTTCCCGGTCACCGATTTGCCCGTATTTCGGGTCCCCTTTAGAGAGAGAGAGAGAGAGAGAGATTAAAATTAATAATTGATTAAAAATGCTCACAATATTTGCATACCGTCTCAAAGACGCCGTAAGTGTCGCCATAATTGCGGCCGGAAGTGATGCCGGGGCCGCCCACCAGACCGCACATGATATTCGTCAATATATTGCCGTAAAGGTTGGGCAACAAAAGCACATCGAATTGGTTCGGATTGGAGACCAACTGTTCGGTGAGAAACAACATTGATTTGAGTTCAAAGTAGTGCTGTGTTTGGGAATGAGAGGCACAGCCATAGGCACAGCCATACCTGCATCGAGCAGTTGTCGATAATCATGTTATTGTATTTGATTTCTGGATATTCTTTGGCCATTTGTGTGCATATATTAAGGAACAAACCGTCGGCCAGTTTCATGATATTAGCCCTAAGAAGAAGTGAATCAATTGAGACAATGTGTGGGCGAATGGGAGGGCAGAGGAATGGCATACTTGTGAACACACGTCAATTTCTTGCGACCGTTGCGTTTGGCGAACTCGAAGGCGTAGCGAGCGATCTGTTCCGTGCGCTGTCGGGTCACGATCTTAAGACTCTCGACCACACCGTTGACACTCTCGTGCTCTAAACACGAGTACTCGCCTTCAGTGTTCTGACGGATCAGATAGATGTCGATGTCTTTGTGTCGGGTGTGGACTCCCGACTGGGACTGACAGTGGATGACATTGGCGTAGAGGTTGAGCCGCAGCCGTAGCTCCACATTGCGGGACAGGAAGTGCTTCGAGTGCTCGCGGGTCTCGATATTGCCCTTCAGTGCCGCGCCGTTGCGTTTGATGGAAGTGATCGCTTCGAACATATTCTCGTGATCTTCATGTGTTGAGTCCAGATTCACGTCCTCGAAGTCCACGGGTATACCACCGGCTCTGTGTGTGGTGTATGTGTGCACACAATTGGCCACCGATTAGTGACATTCAAATGATAGCATTAAATCAAATGCAATACTTAAACACTTTCTTGACGTTAGCGATCATCTCGGGTCCGATGCCATCGCCGGGAAGTGCTGTCACCATAAACCTGAACTCAGTCAACACAAGTAATAGTCAGACAATAGTGACCATCGGCTGGTCTATTGGCGAAACATACCTTCCGCCGTATTTGGCGTGTGTCTCATGTGTGGGACTCGTGTGCATAGCTCGGCGCCCATCACCTGAGCTGATCCCAACCATAGAGCCCTTGTGTGTCATCGAGAACTATAGGCGCAAAATACAAGACAGGAATCAGTTGTCTGAATGGTTTGTGTTGTTGACAATGGCGTACCAGAGATGCTGTTGTCTTCCGCATCGTTGCCGCCGTCGACATAGCAGGCGATGCGGCCATCGATCGGATCAATAGTGAAGTCATCAGTTGTGTGGTGTCTGTGCGGCAAATCTTGGGATCAGATTAGACGACAATCAATGCGTTCACAGTTGAAGATCAATACAATGAAGACTGCATTTAAAAGTCACGTGACTGAGTGAATGGGGGGGTTGGGTAGTGTTTGGTTACGGTATTTGTGAACAGCCCTCACAACACACTCCATATCTATAGTTTGAGACAAAACACACGTAAATCACAATTGATTTGGATTTTCATTCATTTGTTATAATTAACTCATTTTCACACTAATTGTCACCCAAAACAGATTCCAAGACATCGACACTACAAGTGTGTGATTAATACAAGTCAATTGAAATCGCAGACAATGGCGGCCAACGGTTCCGACCACAAGACAGTCTACGAGTTCACAGTGAAGGACATCGACGGCGCGGACCTACCGCTGGCCAAATACAAGGGCCAGGCGTTGATCATAGTGAACGTGGCCAGCAATTGCGGCTTCACCAAGGTCAACTACAAAGAGCTCAATGAACTGTACGACAAGTACGAGTCCCGCGGTCTCCGTATACTAGCCTTCCCTTGCAATCAGTTCATGAATCAGGAGTCGGGCTGTGATGTGGACATCAAAGAGTTCGCCCGCAAACAGGGGGTCCGCTACGACTTCGCCGCCAAATGCGATGTCAACGGCGATCACGCGATCCCACTGTGGAAGTGGTTGCGGACACAACAGTCCGGTTGGTTGGGTTCGTTCATTAAGTGGAATTTTACCAAGTTTTTGGTCAACAAGGATGGAGTGCCGGTCCACAGGTTCGCGCCGACCACCGCTCCCAATAAGATGGATGCGGACATACAGGCAGTACTCAATCAAGTGGCCACTGATGCCGGAATCGGCGCTTAATCACTGGTTTAACCGCTGGTTTGTTTCCAAGTGTTTGTTGTTGTGGTTTATTATTGGCCCGATTCTTGTCTGTCCATCTATTTTACGATTTTAATTCTCTCTCTCTCTCTCTCTCTCTCTCTCACCGGTTGTGGCCATTGAGACAACCGAAGCACTCATTAAATGTGTCGGCAATACTTCGCTGTCTGTCCAATAGATATGCGGCTGAAGACGACTCATCACTGCATTCGGCCATCAATTTCTGTTTGAATGAATGGAAACATAAGAATCACAGAATCGGGTGAAGTGTCAGGTCTGGTATGATATGGTATGAGTGTTCGNACTATTGTATTAATAAATTGAATGTTGAAACATATATTCTTTCAAGACGTGGAGCGGCGGCTGCAATGCTGAAGAGTAGTTCATTCCCGTCACGAATGCTCGCACTGTTCGGCACATTCACAGCGAGTGCATATGTGTTGTGATTATTAGTGTTGGTATCAAAGTTTATAAGTAGATTTATAATTAAAACAATTGTTATTTTGTTAATTATAGTTCATTATAACGAGTGTATACTTCTGTTCATAGAATTATAATTTATATTACAATTTGAATAAATGTTTAATAATATACACATTTATCTGTGACTTAAATGGATTCACATTTTCTCATAAGTGTCTAAATGTGCGCAACTTTTACACCGTTTCTCAAACGTGTCGTCCAATTGATTGTATGACTCATCGCCGAAGTGGTGGCAGTGATGGGCGGCCGTCGGTCTCGTATAGACACTGATTCTGACAGTGATTCGCAAACTCTTGAGCCGTTTGTCGTACTGTTTGTGTTGTTCTTCGGTGGCAAACACCGACTGTTGATGTGTTGTCACGTATGCTGTTCTCTAACCCTAAGTTTATTGTCACAAATCATTTGGTAATATATCGTAAATGACACCAAAATGTGGTCAAACTTCTCGTGAAAAACCAAAGACTGCATCGGAGGACAGTAGTGGTCGTCATAATTGGTTACCATCGGTATAGCAGTCAATAAGCGGTGCACATCAGCAACACATATAGTGGACAAACATGTCATCATTGGTTAGCGAGTGGTCACATATGAATGGCAATAAGATCACAGACCATTGTTTTTAGGATCAGTTAAGCGGTGATGTCTTCAAGTATTAATTCTGTCAAAGTTTTAATTGAAACACAACTAATAAATGACTATAAAGTTTGTGTGACCACTAAATGGCCCCCAGTTTGCCCCTAATATGTGTACAAATATGTGATTCCCTTATAATTCAGGTCTCAATTTCTGTCCCCTTCTCTCCCATAATATGAGTCGTTATTAATGAATATATCTATGAATTGATGGCTAAAAGTGTAAACAATAAATTGTAAACTAATTATGAAATACTCGTTATAGTGAACACACAATAAGTGTCACTACATGTACACTAAATTAGTTAATTTTATCAATTATTTAATTGATTATTAACTTATAGTTTTGCTAACCATTTGTGAATACAATACAAATGTTTTATGTTTTTCATTGTTTACAAACATATCGAGTGTTACGTAAAGTCATGTGTTTTGTTGTGATTATTAGTGTTGTTATCAATTGATTACAATTAGAGATAACAAACCAATCGTTTTAAACAATTCATTACAATAACAATGGATTGAGTTTTTTATCATTGGTTTTAAATGACTTTTAATCAACCATTTTATGGATTAAACAACTTTTAATTATTATTTTTAAATGCAATTGTTTTTATAATAATAATAATTGCATTCAATGGACAAAATGTCGGCCAATATCGGCATTAATTCTGAATCGATTCTCAACGACACTATCACCACATGTGATCACCGCAACGGTTCCCACGAACCGGAAGACAATATCGACGCCATTATTATTAGAGGAAACAATTTGAACGAAACTTATGGGAGGGAAGAGACAAACACTGGACACCATTTGTCACATAATAACGATAATAATACGCCCGAAGAGCCACTACTGGACACCACATCCACAGGCGATGAGACACAACTCACACCACACATGAAGGATCGGTTCCGACGCCGATTGCGCTACTATTTCATGAGTCCTATCGACAAATGGCGGTCTAAACGGCGCCTACCGTTCAAACTGGTGGTACAAGTGGTGAAAATAATATGCGTTACGACACAACTGTTGATCTATGGGTACGACATGTCCGGCCATTTGGCACAGGAGTCCAACTCAATGATCGCATTCCGTGAGCTATTGCTCGCCAATTGGGATCCCGTGCGGGAAGTGATGGCATACCCGCCGTCCGCCGGTCCGTACGCTCTCTACACCCGACAGGACTTCTACGACGGTATCGATTACGCCGTCCGCCAGTTCTCCAACATATCGGAGTCGAGTATCGGTTCGTTCGGTTACGCCGTCGACCGGTCGCCGACCAACGGATCCAATATGTCGGACGTTGTGATACAGCGCCGGCACTATAGGACTGGTTCCGCACATCCCAGCGATTATCGGTACGAATACGACAACGAAGAAGTGTCCGATTGGGTGACAATTGGCGAACTCTATCCGCCGGGAGATGAGCGATGGTTTACTCAGTTCTCGTCTCAGCGATACTTCGATGGCCACAACTTTACCATCAATTTTGACCGACTCTTATGGCTGGAAGTGGTGTTTCCGTTGCGAACCATTTACGTCAACTCATTGGCCAAATACAACGCCCCGAAGTGTTACGATCTGAACGTTACGATCGCTTACGACAACACCGAACACGACGGACAAATGCCCGTCCATTTGACGGTCACTCAGCGTCGGCACCGATGCGACGGCAATCTCGCCGACAATTCTGACGACGAGTCCGAACGCCAGCGACGACTGGCCATCAATTGGGCTGTGATTGTGTTGAGCGCTGTGTCGGCCGTACTGTGTCTTCGGTCCCTCTATTCGGGACTCGTATTGTGCGCCGAAAGCCGACAATTCTTCGCCCATCACTTCCAACAACGGCTCTCATTCGGTGACCAAATGTCGTTCTGCGACCTCTGGATTGTGTTGATTGTGATAAACGACGCGTTGATAACGACGGGAACCGCTCTGAAGATGCGTTTGGAGGTGGAGTTTGACGACTCGATCCAATACAACACAGTGTCTATACTGTTGGGCGTCGGCAACCTGTGTGTGTGGACCGGATTTCTGCGGTATTTGGGTTTCGCACACAAATATAATGTACTCATTCTGACCCTAAGGCGGGCCATACCTAATGTGTTGAGATTCATGTTATGCGCACTCATTCTCTACGGGTATGTCTGTCTCGTCTATGATTGCTATACAACTAATGTATTTGTCAATTGATTACATGTATAACTGGTCAGTGGGTTCTGTTTGTGCGGATGGTTAGTGTTAGGTCCCTATCATCTCAAGTTCCGGACCCTAAGTCTGTCGTCTGAGTGTCTCTTCTCACTGATGAACGGCGACGATATGTTCGCCACGTTTTACGTCACTGATTGGCGCCGACAGACCATCATCTGGTGGTTCAGCCGTCTCTACCTCTACCTCTTCGTCTGTCTCTTCATTTATGTGGTGTTAAGTCTATTCATTGCTCTCATTATGGACTCATACGAGACAATCAAAGACTATTACCAGAACGGACTCCCACTCACTCCACTACAGGTGCGTCCGAACACTCATACCATATCATACCAGACCTGACACTTCACCCGATTCTGTGATTCTTATGTTTCCATTCATTCAAACAGAAATTGATGGCCGAATGCAGTGATGAGTCGTCTTCAGCCGCATATCTATTGGACAGACAGCGAAGTATTGCCGACACATTTAATGAGTGCTTCGGTTGTCTCAATGGCCACAACCGGTGAGAGTCCTAAACCATACCTCCACACCATATATGCCATCGTTTGACTGTTTTTGTTACCCAAAAATGTTCCGAAAGTGTGATTAAGAGAAATATTTAAAAAATTATATTTATTTTTCTTCAATTAATAATAGGATGTATTTATAAAGTAATAAATTATTTTAAAAAAATTTATTGCCTATCCTTTCAATCAATACAAGACATAATTATATTCAGAATTAATTAAACGATTAATTTGTAGACAAAATAATAGAAATAAATATGATTTGTTTTGCACACAAAAATCCCATTAAAACTAATAGTAATTATAATAATCACTAAAAAGTGACACAAATAGAGGTTTTGAGACAAAACTACAGATGAGTTAATAATTGGATTTGTTTTCACAGAATATCAATAATTTGTTGAAAAATATGGGATTTTGTTGCAAACGATAACTCAAGAGTCGGAACAAACACTGAATGAGTGGTGAATCAGTTGATACACTGCCACTTCTTCTTCACCACAAAACACCTGTCGTTGAGTTCAATGTCCGCACAAAACACACACTAATTGTCTCGTAATATGTCTTTCAATACAGATATTAAATAATTAGAAAAAACAAAATCAATATAAAATCAAATTCACAGTTCAAACCAAATATGCATTCAATACATGAGAGCCGACACTAAATAGTATCAAAAAACTGAACACTAAATTAAACATCAATTAAAACACAATTAATAATATGATTAAGTGGTGGGAAGTGTTGTATGTCTTCGGCTCAATCTTCTGAAGAGGGATCACTTTCGGTGGTGGTGTCCGACGACCGGCCACTACCGCCACATCCATCGGAACCTAATTGTGGTGACAATGAGGTCACGTGTCGGGACAAAAGCGGCGAAACAGTGGCGGAACGACTTGACGGCGTCGATGCGCTAATGATGGACGAACTGACGGTCGGCACCGCCTCCACAGCCTCCACGTCCACACCTAATGGTTGGGCCACCGAATCGACCACCGAATCGACTGCCGGCAAATCCAAATGAGTGTCCGCTATATAGCGGTTCATTGCGTCCACCGTTTCGCCCGAAATGCCAGCGGCCGAGAGTGCGGCCAATGAGTGAGTGGTCAGCCATTCCCGAGTGGCCATCACTTCGCCTATTGGAATGGGGGGCACAACGACCTCAGGGTTGCCCATCAATGACAACAAATGGTCCTCCAATTGGTCCGAAAGGCTAAGACGTTTTCAAAGAGAGGTGTGAGAGAGTGAGTGAGTGAGAGATGGCATGACTTACTGTTGTGGTCGCACAAAGTGACTGATGGCGTGAACCGCTTTGACAATGGTTTCAATGGATAAGCGCTGGATTAGCGAAAGTGTCATTTGGGAGGCACTTCCAGAGGGTGTGGACGACGACATGTTTAAGTGATGTCGACTGTGATTATGACACAACACATGTCTATAAAGGGATGTATTGGTTCGTGAATGACGTCCAACACGTCTATTGTTCACTGAATTGTCCACTAATTTATGTTTTGTCGACATTTTTGTCAATACTTTTCAAATTGAAAATTTCAATACAGTGTTTGCCAAACATCTGATCGTATATTCAATGCAATCAATGCAAGCCTTTAGTGTAGAAACGGACCAAACATTCGCTCATTTATATAACACTTTTAATATTGACAACACTTTCCGTACTTTTCGTACGTTTTAATACCAATAGAGTTGTATTGACGCCATCTGTGGGCCAACTCTTGCCTGCATTTCATTCAAATCCACTCAATATGGCGTTCAATACGTGTCCACACAATCACCACAACTGATCCCACAGTTATCACCACTCTATCCATTGTCCACATCAGTCGTGACCAGTGTTACCAGTGTCTGAGCGATTGTCACGTGTTGTGTGCGCTCATCACCACTAATACATCCCAAATTCTTTACACCCTTTGTATTGCAATCACTGTCTCTGTTGTGGACACCGATTGTGTTGAGACACACAGACAGACAGTGAGACCACGTGAGCGATGCCTCGCTATGAAGACAGTCCTGCGGGACACCGATCTGGCGGTCACTCACCGCTCGATCACCGGAGACCCGATCGGCGTATGAAGAGTCCAATGATGGGCGGCGGCGACGGTAGGCGTCGACCGCAACGCGACTCACCGTCGATGAGACCGCCGATGAACTCGCGGGACAATTACGACGACTACCGGAACCACTCGTCGGGCGGCGGCGGAGGACACCATCGCAACAGCGATGTCGGGCCGTCTGGAGGGGGCGGCGGAGGGGGTGTTTCGATGCCCTATAAGATACTCTGTGTGTCAAACATAAGCAACAAATACAGCGACAATGAGGTTCGCAATGCTCTGACGCGAGAGTTTCACCGCTTCGGCGAACCGAACGTGAAGCTGGTCTACGACGACAACACACGGCTGGCGTACCTCTACTTCGACAACTACGACGACGCGCGCGACGCCCGACACGCCAAGAGTCGACTCGTCCTCTTCGACAAGACTATTATCATTGACCCGATCTATGATCGCACGCCTCAACAGATGCCCCGTCGGCCGCGTTCTGTCACTCCTGAGTACCCGATGGGCGGCGGAAGTGGTGGCGGCGGTTCCCGTAGGGGCGGCGGTGGAGGCGGTCGCGGACCTCCATCGCCACCGATGCCCAGAGGCCGACCCCCGCCTCCACCTATGGGTAGGAATTCAATGAACGATATGAAGTATATGCAGGTAAGGGTTGTATGCGTGCAGTTATTATGTCTTGTATTTAGTATTTGTTTCGCTAATATGTTCACTAAATGATTACATTTAATGCCATTATACTTGTGTTGTATTACTAATTGTTGCCTCTAATGGATAGCCGCATCGAGACAACTATCGGGACATGCATTCAATGCGTAATCAAGACTATCATCACTCGGGCGGTGGTGGAGGAGGCGGTAGTGGTGGCGGCGGAGGAGGAGGTGGTGGCGGCAGCGGCGGTGGCGGTGGTAACCGTCATCAGCAGCAACAGCACCGGGAGTCCAAAAAGGAGAAGTTTCCCAATTATTTGCATCACATCGCGCCCGAAGAGGACGATAAGGCCACCCGAACTCTGTTTGTCGGTAACCTAGAGGTGACGATCAGTGACCCAGACTTGAGGCGCATATTCGAGCGCTACGGCGTTGTGGAGGACATAGACGTGAAGCGTCCGCCGCCGGGCAATGGGAACGCCTACGCGTTCATCAAGTTCTTGAACCTGGATATGGCTCACAGGGCCAAAGTGGAGATGTCTGGCCAATACATCGGCAAATTCCAGTGCAAAATAGGCTACGGGAAGGCCACCCCTACCACACGCATATGGGTGGGCGGACTCGGCCCGTGGACCTCGTTGTCACATTTGGGCAAAGAGTTTGACCGCTTCGGCGCCATCCGTAAGATCGACTTCGTTAAGGGCGATAATCACGCGTACATACAGTACGACAGCATCGACGCAGCGCAGGCCGCCTGTGCAGACATGAGGGGCTTTCCACTCGGCGGTAACGATAAGCGTTTGCGCATCGATTACGCCGATCCGGGCCCGTACTCCTTCATGTCGCCCACACATCCCGGTTCAGCCCCACCGCCCGTTGGCGGCAGTGGTAGTGCCGCAGGAGATCCGTATCCGCCGTCGACCAGTGGTCGCAGTGTAGGCGCTCGAGACGATGCGCCCGACGACTGGCCCAATAATCACGGCTCGAAGTTTGGCCCTAATTCTGGCGAATTTAACGACTCGTTTGAGAGGAATTCGTCACAAAACCGGAGCCGAGAGTTCAACGACGACCCGCCGAAGAGGGACCGGGACTTAGTGGCCGGCAATAGCGGTAATTACGAACAGTGGTGGGGCGACGGAGCGTCGGGCGGGCCGTATTCACCCAACTCTCAACCTCCGCGTCGACGTCGAGGTACGCCCGACGCCGGAGAACCCGGCCATAAGCGGTTGCGACGTAACAGCGGTTCGCCGACTCCGGGCGACGACCGATCGCCACATCGGCCGCACTCTATTGGACGCAATTCTCCTGCATATGAGACGAATGGCAAAGACAATGACGGCCTCAAAGTGACCATCAGTGAGACGGTGTCGACGATCGGCGAGTTAGCCAAGTGTTGTCCGCCCGCGTGGAGCGGCGGCCTTATGCTGAAGAGTAGTTCATTCCCGTCAC